AGCGTTAAACAACTATGTCCAGGTGTGTGCGTATGAGTGTGTGTGTTTGTACAGTGCCTTCAGAAAGTATTCATACCTCTCTCACCCATCTACACACAACACCCCATAATGACAAAGTGAAAAGTTTTTTGCAAATTTATTGAAAATGAAAAAATGAAAACCTTATTTTCATAAATATTCAGACCCTTTGCTATGAGACTCGAAATTGACCTCAGGTGCATCCTGTTTCCATTGATCAGCCTTGAGATGTTTCTACAACTTGATTGGAGTCCACCTGTGGTAAATACAATTGATTGGACATGATTTGGAAAGGCACACACCTGTCTATATAAGGTCCCACAGTAGACAGTGCATGTCAGAGCAAAAACAACATACATACATGAGTAAAATGTTCTAAAAACCAGTTTTTGCTTTGTCATGGGGTATTGTCTGTAGATTGATGAGGGAGAAAAAAAACAATTTAATCACTTTTGGAATAAGGCTGTAACATAACAAAATGTGGAAAACGTCAAGGGGTCTGAATACTTTCCAATTGCACCCTATCTGGGGAATGGTATAAAACAATTTCTAGAGTGTTGAACGTTTCCAAGAGCACAGTGGTCTCCATCATTGGGAAATTGAAAGAATATGGATCTACCCAGACTCTGCCTAGAGCTGGCCGTCCGACCAAACTGAGCAACCGGGCAAGAAGGACCTTGGTCAGGGAGGTGACCAAGAACCCAATGACCACTCTGACAGAACTACAGAGTTCCTTGGCTGAGATGGGAGAACCTGCCAGAAGGACAACAGTCTCTACAGCACTTCACCAATCTGGGCTTTATCGGAGAGTGGCCAGACGGAAGCCACTCCTGAGAAAAAGGCAGATGACCGCATGCCTGGAGTTTGTAAGAAGGCATGTGAAAGACTGAGAGCATAAGGCAAAATATTCTGTGGTCTGATGAGACAAAAATGTAACTCTTTGGCCTGAATGCAAAGCGCTATGTCTGGAGAAAATTAGACAATGCTCATCACCCGTCTAACAACATCCCTACCGTGAAGCATGGTGGTGGCAGCATCATGCTATGGGGATGCTTTTCAACGGCAGGGACTGGGAGACTGGTAAGGATAGAGGGAACAAAATGAATGGAGCCAAATACAGACAAATCTTTGATGAGAACCTGCTTCAGAGTGCAAATGACCTTAGACTGGAGCGAAGACTTACGTTCCAACAGGACAATTACCCCAAGCATAGAGCCAATGCATCGCTGGAATGGCTTCAGAACAAGAATGTTAAAGTCCTTGAGTGGCCCAGCCAAAGCCCAGACTTGAATCCTATTGAATATCTTTGGAAAAACATGAAGATTGTTGTTCACCGCCACTCTCCATTTAACTTATTAATAGAGTTTGAGAAAATCTGCAAGGAAGAATGGGAGAAAATCCCCAAATCCAGATGTGCAAAGCTGATACAGACATACCCAAGACGACTCAAAGCTGTAATCACCGCTAAAGGTGTTTCTACAAGGTATTGACTCAGGGGTGTGAATACTTTTGTAAATTAGACATTTCTGTATTTCAATAAATTTGCAAACATTTCTAAAAACATGTTTCACTTGATGGGTATGGTAATTCAGGCTGTAGCACAACAACATGTGGAATAAGTCAAGGAGTATAAATACTTTCTGAAGGCACTGTATGGCCACTGTATGACCACTGTATGACCACTGAATGACCACTGTATGACCACTGTATGACCACTGCATGACCACTGTATGACCACTGTATGACCACTGAATGACCACTGTATGACCACTGTATGACCACTGTATGACCACTGCATGACCACTGTATGACCACTGTATGACCACTGTATGACCACTGTATGACCACTGTATGACCACTGTATGAACACTGTATGGCCACTGTATGACCACTGTATGACCACTGTATGAACACTGTATGGCCACTGTATGACCACTGTATGACCACTGTATGACCACTGTATGAACACTGTATGGCCACTGTATGACCACTGTATGAACACTGTATGGCCACTGTATGACACCACTGTATGAACCACTGTATGAACCACTGTATGACCACTGTATGACCACTGTATGACCACTGTATACCACTGTATGACCACTGTATGACCACTGAATGACCCACTGTATGACCACTGTATGACCACCTGTATGACCACTGTATGAACACTGTATGACCACTGTATGACCACTGTATGACCACTGTATGACCACTGTATGAACACTGTATGACCACTGTATGACCACTGTATGACCCACTGTATGAACACTGTATGACCACTGTATGAACACGGTGATGACCACTGTATGACCACTGGTATGACCACTGTATGGCCACTGTATGACCACTGTATGACCACTGTATGACCACTGTATGACCACTGTATGACCACTGTATCACCACTGTATGACCACTGTATGACCACTGTATTGACCACTGTATGAACACTGTAGACCACTGTATGACCACTGTAGACCACTGTATGACCCCTGTATGACCACTGTATGAACACTGTATGAACCACTGTATGACCACTGTTGACCTGTATGACCACTGTATGAACACTGTATGACCACTGGTATGAACACTGTATACCACTGTATGACCACTGTATGACCACTGTATGACCACTGTATGGCCACTGTATGACCACTGTATGACCACTGTATGACCACTGTATGAACACTGTATGACCACTGTATGACCACTGTATGACCACTGTATGACCACTGTATGGCCACTGTATGACCACTGTATGACCACTGTATGACCACTGTATGACCACTGTATGACCACTGTATGACCACTGTATGACCACTGTATGAACACTGTATGACCACTGTATGACACTGTATGACCACTGTATGACCACTGTATGACCACTGTATGACCACTGTATGACCACTGTATGACCACTGTATGACCACTGTATGAACACTATGAGTTCTCTCTAATGTGTTTGTTTTTTTCGCCCCTCTAACTCCGCCCATCCAGAAGGATGTGTGTGTAATTACCCCCCAGACTCTCCCTCAGGACATTGGGAAATGTGTGTGTGTGTACGTACGTATGTGTGTGTGTGTGCGTACGTGTGTGTGTGAGAGGAAAGAGAGTGTGCTGGTGTGTGTGCTCGCACGTGAGCGTGCAAGTGTTCTCTAAGTAACCTGTTTGTCCAGTCAAACTCCTCACTTTCAAGAGAAGTGGGGAGCAGCAATCTGTCTCTCACGTCTTCTTCCCTCATTTTCTCTCTCTCTCTCTCTGCTTGACGTGGAACTAGCGTAAGTCTGTTTTTCATTCTCTTATTCTCTCTGTTTTATGGAAGATAACTTTATCTTCATCACTAGAGAGCCATACACCACACGGCACCGAACACACACACTTCATAGACTTGTAATAACGCTATACTTATTCATTTTTTATTGATGTAGTTCTGTCCTTGAGCTGTTCTTGTCTATTAATGTTCTGTATTATGTCATGTTTCATGTTTTGTGTGGACCCCAGGAAGAGAAGCTGCTGCTATAGTAACAGCTAATGGGGATCCTAATAAAATACCAAATACTATTAATATAGTTTATATGATAACTTGTATGGTGATTCAGTCATGTAGTCCATTCCTTAAACTAACCCTTACAATCCGAGCTAGAACAAACAGCAGGGGTGTTCTCCACCCACCAGGATCAATAAGTTAGCCAGATAACTGATCAGCACCTTATAAAGAAAGCTAAAGTTGACTGCTGTTTGGTATCAAGTCAGTATGGCCATGTAAAGCGTATCTGTTTTGATGAACAGGGAAACATGGAGTTATTTCTGCATAGCTCTGGGACGTTATTGTGCTACAGTGTAGATCAGTCTTTGTTTAAAAAAAATGCTGGTATCCCTAAGGATATACGTTTTTTGTTGTAGCCCTTCACTATCACACCTGATTCAGTTAATCAACTAATCATCAAGCCCGTGTGAGGAGCTAGAACAAAAGTGTGCAACAGTGTGGGGGAGGAGGATCAGAGAAGACAAACACTGCACCAGATGATAATGACTCGATGAGTGTATGATTATCCTGTGTTTGATGTCTAACCTGGTTCTGATTCACTCTAACTGTTTCCACATGTGCTGTCTATCCGCTGTCCTGTGTTTTCACTGCCCTGTGATCTATCTGATGTATTGTGTGTGTGTTTGTGTGTGTGTTGGGTGTGTGTGTGGTGTGTGTGTGTGTGGGTTGTGGGTGTGTGTGTGGGTGGGTGTTTGTGTGTGTAACTATGTGTGGGTGTGTGTGCGTGCGTGCACAAGTGCGTGCGTGCGTGTTTTGATGTGATTGGATAAAGATGTGTTGGAACTCTTGCATTACAGTGACGACTGTAGAATAAAGAACAGAGGGGATACCTCTGCATGGATTCGTCTAGAGGAGAGGAGAGGAGAGGAGAGGAGAGGTAGAGCGAGAGAGAGGGAGGGCGGAGAAGAGAGGGAGGGAGGAGCGAGAGAGAGAGGAGCGAGAGGAGGCGGGGGGAGAGAGGAGAGGAGAGGAGAGGGGGGAGGGAGTGAGAGAGAGACGGGAGGTAGAGGAGATAAATCGGATTACATTAGGAAAGAAGGTGAGAGTACTATTCTATTTCGAGTCTTCGCGTGCTCTTGCTCTTGAGTGATGACTTCCTTCTCTCTACTTCTTTCTCTTCTTCTTCTCGTCTCTATGCTTTTCTTCTATTCTTCTCTTCTCACTCGTCATGCTCTACTCTACATCTTGAACTATCACATAAAGAAAGAGAGAGATAAGATTTGATAAGGAGAGAGAGAGAGAGAGGGGAAACACACACAGGAAGACGTGGAGAGAGGAGAGAAGGAAGGAAACCTCAACCAGATGTCTCTGTTAGTACACACACACACACCCATTAGGAGATCAAACTCTTTACTCGCCACAGCCTCCTGAACATGTCCTGCCATGTTATTGCTGCCACACTGCATGTCTCTCATGAATGTGTGTGTGTTTCTACACTACAGAGAGAAGAGAGACACACAGGAGAAAGAGAGAGACACGTGGAGAAAGATAAACCTTGAGGAAGAGACGGTGACCACAGAAGTGAAGATTGGACGGACGTGTGTCACTGTCCCTGGATGTGTGTTTTTGTGAGTGTGTGTGTTTGTGTATATGTGTGAGAGAGATTGACATGGCAGTGACACACACCTGGACCTGTCTCCTTCTGTGGATCAGCACCTCGACTCAGACCACAACCCCAGGTGAGACTGCCTCTGATTGGCCTTGATTGACATGGTGAGTTTAGATGATTTGGTAACTGGTTGGTTAGAGCAGCCAGGTCACACCAGATCCAATGCAGTATTCGAGGTCCCCAGGACGTCAGGAGATGCCTTCAATACCGGCCACTAGGGGCAACAGTGAGCGCTATTACCATCAAGTAGGTCCGCTGCTTGCTATGGCGTTATGGATGGGGATGGTAGATGGGCGTAAGTCGCGTGCTCCGGCTTCAAAGATCACAGGTTCAATCCCAGTGCTAGGCACTTTACCCAATCATGTGCTCCGCCTCTGAGGATTGTGGGTCAATCCCAGGGCTAGGCACTCATTTTTATTTCGTTGAAGTCAGACCGTATCAGACCATGAGATCTTGTAGCCTGGTTCCCAGCAGGAACTGCACCACCACACCCAACTTTACTAATTACCTCAATAACTGAGATAATTAATCAATCAGTGATTGGCTAAATTCCACCTACTTGGCTTCCCAGTTCTAAAGCAAAAAAGGTAAACTCAAAAACCTGCTGTTCTCCAGGAAGAAAGTTGACCAACCCTGTGTTAAATGATCAATAAAGGTTAGTATATATACATTAACTCAGTATCTCTGTTGACTTCACACAGATACTGCCAAGACAAAACACACACACATACATACACACACACACACACACACACAGAGGAGTCTATATGTTGTTTGTACAGTGAACCACTGTGGTTTCACTCCACCACATGAAGGTGTTTATATGAGTGCAATGCAGGTTTAATTGAATGAATTCCTCTGATTGCCAATAGTCGCTGAGGTGTATATAACAGGTGTGTGTGTTCTCTTTACAGACACTCACGTGACATGTGTGTTCTTGGAGGACTGTGTCCTGCCCTGCAGCTTCCAGCCAGACAGTGATGAGGTCATCCACTGGCTCAAACAGGAAGTGCCTGTCCACTCCTTCCAGCGAGGAGGGGAGCGGACTGAGCATGAGCAGTATGCTGGCCGCACCTCCCTCTTCACACACCTGTTCTCCCGTGGCAACGCATCGCTGCACTTGAGGGGGTGTGGCCCCAGGGACCGCGGCAAATACAAGTGTCACGTGCGTACCTCTGCAGGCATGCACGAAGCCCATGTCATCGTCAGGGTGGAGGGTGAGTCAAGCTGTCAATTGAACAGTAGACACACCCACAGTGACTGTCCTAGCTTATTGCAGTTATTCTATCAATGGATGATCAGTTGGTTTGTGTATATACACTACCGTTCAAAAGTTTGTGGTCACTTAGAAATGTTCTTGTTTTCGAAAGAAAATCAAATTTTTTGTCCATTTAAATAACATCAAATTGATCAGAAATACTGTATTTCTGATCAATTTGATGTTATTTTTAATTGCTTTTCTTTCGAAAACAAGGACATTTCTAAATGACCCCAAACTTTTGAACAGTAGTGTATGTGTGTGTGTGTGTGTGTAGCGCGTATCCGGGGCCTGTCTCTGGAGCTGTCCAGACTAAGTGGCTATGAAGAGGTGAAGTGTACCATGCGACACGTCTACCCTGCCCCTCACGTTGCCTGGGCAACTGACCCGCCCACCGCCCAGCCACTTCGACCAATAACGCGTAAGCTGGCTGACCGACAGGGGCTGTATGCAGTGGAGAGCCGGCTGAGGAGGCTGAACAGCCAACCAGAGCTCACCTACATCTGTACTGTCAACTCCTCCTATGGATCACAGACGTGGACCGCTTCACTCAGAGAAAGAGGTATGACACTCTCACACACACACACTGTTTTGTTAAACTTTAAAAGCTTTTTGTAATCTCTCTCTCTCTCTCGCTCTCTCTGTGTTTCTCTCGCTCTCTTTCTCTCTCTGTCTCTCAGAGATCAATGGAATAGAAGGGAAGGCTCTGACCATTCCTTGCCACGCCCCATCCTACATGCCTAAATCCTCCCTCTCCTGGAGTTTCACAAATCACAACGAAGCGGCTCTCATCCTCACCTACGACAGCCAATCACAGCTCAGTTCTGCCTCAGCACCCTGGGAGGCCTGTGCGCAATTGGATGTCCTCAGGGTTCCGCTCGGTGACGGATCGATGCAATTGGTCAACCCAATCAGTCTGGAACACACAGGGATCTATACCTGTGTTTACTCTTCCCCCCAGAACACACACACAGAACACACCGGGGTCAACATCTCAGCTGTCACTGGTGAGAGATCACACACCTACACGCACTAACCATACCTACTAGTGTATGTTAGGGGTTTACTGTCTCTGTCTGTTACCTGTGTGTCTGTTACCTGTGTGTATGTTACCTGTGTGTCTGTTACCTGTGTGTATGTTACCTGTGTGTATGTTACCTGTGTTTATGTTACCTGGGTGTCTGTTACCTGTGTGTCTGTTACCTGTGTGTATGTTACCTGTGTGTCTGTTAACTGTGTGTATGTTACCTGTGTGTCTGTTACCTGTGTGTATGTTACCTGTGTGTATGTTAACTGTGTGTATGTTACCTGTGTGTATATTACCTGTGTGTATATTACCTGTGTGTATGTTACCTGTGTGTCTGTTACCTGTGTGTATGTTACCTGTGTGTCTTACCTGTGTGTATGTTACCTGTGTGTATGTTACCTGTGTGTATGTTACCTGTGTGTATGTCAGCTGTGTGTATGTTACCTGTGTGTATGTTACCTGTGTGTATGTCAGCTGTGTGTATGTTACCTGTGTGTATGTTACCTGTGTGTATGTTACCTGTGTGTATATTACCTGTGTGTATATTTCCTGTGTGTATATTACCTGTGTGTATGTTACCTGTGTGTATGTCAGCTGTGTGTATGTTACCTGTGTGTATGTTACCTGTGTAAAGGTGAGCGTATGCGACGTCAAGAGGCGTCTCAGTGGTGGATCTTTGCCGTGGTGATAGCAGTGCTGGCTCTCGCCCTCACAGGAATTCTGGGATATCTGAAAGTCAGAGGTATGGGGGTATGGGCAGGGGGAAGGGTTAACTATAATAACATAATAATAACATAAACGGAACATTATCTGTCTATAATCACAAATGAGTAATACTGAGATAGAGAACTAAGGCTGAATGAGCTTGCAAGTAAATGACAGGGTAAATCAAATCAAATCCAATTTTATTTGTCACATGCTCCGAATACAACAGTGAAATGCTTACTTACAAGCCCTTAACCAACAATGCCGTTTTAAGAAAAATAAGTGTTAAGAAAGTGTTTACTAAAATAAACTGAAGTAAAAAATAGATAAGTAAAAAATGTAATGTAGAAGTAGAAGTATTTTATCTGTCTGTACCTGACGTCCCTTTTTACCTGTCACCAGGTAACCAGTCCAAGCCCAGTAAGAGACCAGAGGGGACCAGTGAGATGGAGCCAGTGAAAGGTAAGTCACAGTCCAGCCGTTGTGTAGTAGCAGGACCATCAACTAACTATAGTATCCAGCACAGACCATCAACTAACTGTAGTATCCAGGACCATCAACTAACTGTAGTATCCAGGACAGACCATCAACTAACTATAGTATCCAGGACAGAACATCAACTAACTGTAGTATACAGGACCATCAACTAACTGTAGTATCCAGGACAGACCATCAACTAACTGTAGTATCCAGGACAGAACATCAACTAACTGTAGTATCCAGGACAGAACATCAACTAACTGTAGTATCCAGGACAGACCATCAACTAACTGTAGTATACAGGACAGACCATCAACTAACTGTAGTATCCAGGACAGACCATCAACTAACTGTAGTATCCAGGACAGAACATCAACTAACTATAGTATCCAGGACAGACCATCAACTAACTGTAGTATCCAGGACAGAACATCAACTAACTGTAGTATCCAGGACAGGACATCAACTAACTGTAGTATCCAGGACAGAACATCAACTAACTGTAGTATCCAGGACAGAACATCAACTAACTGTAGTATCCAGGACAGAACATCAACTAACTGTAGTATCCAGGACAGAACATCAACTAACTGTAGTTATACAGGACAGAACAACAACTAACTGTAGTGTCCAGGACAGAACATCAACTAACTGTAGTATACAGGACAGAACCTCAACTAACTGTAGTATCCAGGACAGACCATCAACTAACTGTAGTATCCAGGACAGAACATCAACTAACTGTAGTATCCAGGACAGAACATCAACCAAAATGTAGTATCCAGGACAAAAACATCAACTAACTGAGTATCCAGGAACAGAACATCAACTAACGTAGTATCCAGGAAACCATCTCTCTCCCCCTCTCTCTTGGGGTTTTTCTCGCCCTTTCTCTTCCGTCTCTCAGAGATCCAAAGGAATAGAAGGGAAAGGTCTGACCCTTCCCTTTCCACCCCCCCATTTCCCACATTCCCAAATCCTCCCCCTTGGTTGGGTTTACAAAACAAAACGAAGCCCCGGCCCCCTCTTTCCCCACCTACGACAGCCAATCACGCTCAGTTCTGCTTAACACCCCCGGGGGGCCTGTTCGCAATTGGATTTTTCCCCAGGGGGTTTCCCCTCGGGACGGATCGATGGGAAATTTGGGCAACCCAATAGTCTGGAACACACAGGGGGTCTATAAACCCGTGTTTACTCTTTCCCCCCCGAAAAACCACAGAAAAAACCGGGGGGCCCAAAACTCAAGCGTCACTGGTGGGGGAGATAAAAAACCAACCCAACCACTAACCATAAAAAAACCCACTAGTGTTGTTGGGGTTTTTTCTTTTCTCTGTCTGTTACCTGTGTGTTGTTCCCGGGGTGTTGGGTTACCCGTTTTTTCTGGTTTTCCTGTGGTTTGTTTTCCCGTTTGTTGTTTACCCCGTGGGGTAGGGTTTCCCCCCCTTTGGGTATGTTCCTGTTTTTTTTTTTGGGTTACCTGTGTGTCTGTTACCTGGGGGTTTTATGTTACCTTTTGTGTCTGTTACCCTTGGGGTTTTGTTACCCCTTTGGGTTTCTTTACCTGTGTGTTTTGTTACCTGTTTTGGGGATGTTAACTTGGGGGTGTATGTTACCCCGTTTTGTATATTTCCTTGGGGGTGTTTTGGGGGGGGGAGGGAAATTGGGGGGCGGGGAAAAAGGGGGGAATGGGAAAGGGGGGCTTTGGGTGGGAGGGGAAAAACCGGGGGGAGTTCCCCCGGGGGGGGAGGGAAAGGGGGGGGACCGTGGGGGGGGAAGGAAAGGGGGGGAGGGGTTAACGGTTGGGCGGGGTGTGGGGGGGACCGGTGGGGATGTTGTTGTGTTTTTTGTTTTATTTACCGTGGGTTTTTTGGGATTTAACCCGGGTTTTTTGGGTTGAACGGGGTGTTTTATTTTTATGGTTTTACTGTGGGAAAAAGGGGGGAAACGTATGGACTCAAAAAGGGGGGTCTCATGGTTTGGTCTTTTGGCCCGGGGGGTGGGATAAACTTGGTTTTTGGGCTCTTCTCGCCCTCACAGGAATTCTGGGTTTTCTGAAAGGGCGAGGGGGGGGGTTTTTTTGGGCAGGGGGGGGAAAGGGGTTTATTAAAAATTAAAAATAATAATAACATAAACGGGGGCATTATTTGTCATAATCACAAATGGAGTAATACTGGATAGAAACTAAGGTGAATGAGTTGCAAAGGGAAAAAGACAGGGTAAAAATCAAATCAAATCCAATTTTTTTTTCCCCCATGCTTCCCCGGGGGAAAAACCAAAAGGGGGAAAGCTTAACTTTCCAAACCCCTTTAAACCAAAAAATGCCCTTTTAAAGGGGAAAAAAAAGGGGTTAAATTTGGGGTTTACTAAAATTTAAAAAAAAGGGAAAAAAAAAATAAAATAAAAAAAAATTTTTGTAAATTTGAAAATTTTTTAATTTGTTTGTTTCCTGACGTCCCCACCCGTGGAACCCGGGCCCAACCCGTTCCCGGGGGGGGTGGGGGAAAAAAGTAGGTTTTTTAGGAACCATCCCAAAAATAAAGTTCCCCCAAACCCCTTTAAAGGAGAGACCAAAAACCAGTAAGGAAGAAACCCCAAAATAAAATCCACAGCATCCCCCCTTTTTTGTATACAGGCCCCTCAACCCCACTTAAATACCAGGACAGGGCCATCATAAAATGTAGTTCCCCGGAAACCCCTCAAACTAACCTTTTTATCCCGGACCCCAAAAAATAAATTTTTATCCAGGAAAAGACCAAACAAAAATAACTGTAGTTTTCCAGGACCCTCAACTAACTTTTAGTATCCAGGACGAAATCAACCCAACTGTAGTATTAAAAGGCAGAAAAAACAACTAAGTATCCAGGAAAAAGACCATCAACTACAAATGTAGTATCCCGGACCCAAAAAATAACTAAAATGTAGTATCCCGGACAAAAACCCTCAACTAACTGTAGTATCCCGGACAAACATCAAAAATAACTGTAGTATCCAGGACAGAAAACAAACAACTAAAATGTAGATCCAGGACCCCCCCTCAAAAACGTATTTTCCAGGAAAAAACAAGAAACCCGGCCCGAAAAAAAACTAAAATGTAGTTCCCGGACAGGAAAAAATAACTTTTAAAAAAACCTAAAAGGGAGTATCCAGGAAAAGACCCCTCAACTAACTGGGATTCCCAGGCAACATCAAAATAACTGTAGTTTAAAGAGTATCCAGGACAGAACCCCTCCCAACGGGAGTATTTCCGGGAACCCGAAAAAAAATAACTGTGACCCCCGGGCAGCCCCCAAGGAGAACCAGAACAACAACTAACTTAGTTGGTTAAGAGTATCCCGGGGAAAAACCCTCAAATAACTGTAGGGAATCCGGGCAAACCCCTCAACAACGTATATCCAGGAAGAACATCAACTCTTTTAACCGGTCCCCGTTGTTAAATATCCAAAGGGGCAAAAATCAACTAAACCCTTTTGATCCGGCAAGGGCCATCCAAAATAACTGAGTATTTCCCGGAAAGACCATCCAAATAAAGTAGTATCCCCGGACCCTCAACCCAACTGTTTGTTCCAGGAACAAAAAATCAACTAACTTTGTATTTCCCGGGACCATTTAACTAACTTAGGATCCGGACCCGAACCCTCAACTAAAATGTAGTATCCAGGAAAAAACACCCAAGACCATCAACTAACCCTTTTATAACAGGAAAAAAATTTTTTTGTACCCCGGAAAAGAACCCTCAACTAACCCGTAGTACCAGGACCAAACCAAAAACCCCGGGCCAACAACAGGAAAAAAATTTAATAAATGTATTTTCCCCGGACACCAAACAAAAATCCCAAACCTAACTGTAGTATCCGGGGCCCAACAAGAAAACCAAACCCCCCCAAAAACCCGTATATCCAGGACAGAACATCCAAAAATGAGTATCCCGGACAGCAAAAAACCCCAAAAAGAACATTAACTAACCCGTATTCCAGGACCCGAACATAAAAAAACTGGGAATTTTCAGGGGCCCGGGCCATCAACTAACTGTAGTTTCCGGACAACCAAGAACCCAGAAAAAAAGACAGCCCCCCAGAACCCTCAACTAACTTTTTTGTATCCCCGGGCCCGCCATCAAAATAAAAATAGTATCCCGGACCCGAACCCTCAAAATAAAAGTAGATCCAGGACTAACAAACCAGCCCGGGGAGAACCCTAAAAATTTAAAGTAGTTTTCCCGGACAGAAAAATCACCCAAACCTTTTTAAAATGTTTGTATAAGGACAAAAACCCAAAAATTTCCCAAAGCTAAACCCGTAGTATAAAGGACATAACATCAACCCAACTTTTAGGATCCCGGGACCCGACCATCAACTAAATTGGGAGGGATCCCGGACAAACAAACAACCCAAAATGTATTAAACCAGGACAGAACCATCAACCCAAAATGTAGTATCCCCGGACCGAAATCAAAAATAAAAGGGAAATATTTCCGGGAAAAAGAACATCAACTAAAATGAGTTTTTCCCGGGCCCCAAGGGACCCGGAAAAAATAAAAAAATGTAGTTTCCAGGACAAACATCAAAAAACCCTTTGTATCCCAGGGGCAAACATCAACTAATTTAGATCCAGGACAAAATCCAAATAACCCGTAGTTCCAGGAAAAGGGCCCTCAACTAATGTAGTTTTCCAGGACCCCCGAAAAAAGCCCGGCAGAACATCAACTAAAACTTTAGTTCCAGGGAAAAAGACCACAACTAAAAATTTGGATCCCGGACGAAAATCCCCCCCAAAATTGTATCCAGGAAAAGACCATCAACAACTGTAGTATCCAGGAGGGGCCCTCAAAAACTTTTTTAGTATCCAGGACGCCCTCAACTAACTGTATATCCCGGGCCACAAAATAACTGTGTATTTCCCGGGACCCAAACCCTCAAATAACTGTTTCCAGGCAAAACCCTCAAAAACTGTGTATCCAGAAAACATCAACTAAATGGGGGATCCAGGAAGAAACCTCAACTCGTGTATCCCGGACCAATTTAAATGAATATCCAAGGGCCTCAAAATAACTGTATTTTCCCGGCCCCTCCCCCTTAAAATGTTTTGTATCCAGGACAGACCCTCAAAATAACTTAGTATCCAGGGCCGAACCCCAACAACTTTTGGTATCCAGGGAAAAGACCATTTAAAAATAACTTTTAGTATCCAGGACAGAAACAATAAAAGGACCCGGGAAACCTCAACTAACTTTAGGGTTTCCAGGAACAGAACATCAAATAAAATGTAGTATCCGGAACAGAAAAAAATCAACTAAAAAAATTTTTGGGAAACCCCGGACAGCCCCAAAAAGCCAGCAGAAATCAAATAACTGTATTTTCCGGACCACAAAACGAAAATCCCAAACTAACCCGTAGTATTCCAGGACAGCCACAAAACAAACCCAAAAAAAACTCGTAGATTTCCCGGAAACCCCCCAACAACAACCAGGCCGCAAAAAGAGGGAACCCGGAACCTCAACAAATGTAGAAAACCCGGACCCGAAAAATCCCCCTAACTGTAGTAACCCGGACCAGAAAAAAACAACTAACGGGGAGTATCCAGGCCCGAAATCAACTTTAAAATGTAGGATCCCCGGACAGAAAAAATCCCCGAACATCAACAAACCGTAGTATCCAAAGGGCAGGAAAAAAACCTTGCCCGGCCCGAACATCAACTAACTTAGTATCCAGGAAAAAGAAATCAACTAACTGTAGTATCCAGGGAAAAAGGAAGACCCGGAAACCTCAAATAACTGTTTGTTCCAAAGGGCAGAAAATCCAAATAACTGGAGTTCCAGGACAAACATCAATTAAATTTATCCAGGACCCCGAACCCTCAAAATAAAATGTAGTATCCCGGACAGAAACAAAACCCAGAACCCAGAACATAAATAAACCCGTAGTTCCAGGACAAAAACCCTCAACTAACTGAGTATCCAGGACAGAACCCTTCCCCCAAAAGAGGGAAAAGGGCGAAACAACCAAGAACCCGGACAGAACATCATAACTGTAATTTCCCGAACCCTCAAATAACCCCGGTTAATCCAGGGGCAAAACCCTTTAAAATTTAAAGTGTAAACCAGGACAGAACCCCAAAAATAACGTAGGGATCCCGGGCAGAACATCAAATAACTGTAGTATTATTTGTTCCCGGGGCAGAACCTCAAACAATGTAGTTTTTCCAGGGGGGAACCCAACCAGCCCCGGAAAGAAAAAACTAACTGTTTTAAACAGGGAAAAAGGGCCCTCAACTAACTTAGAAAACACCAAAAATCAACTAACTGTTTTATCCAGGGCAGAAAAAACCAAATTTTTAAAAATAAGTAGATCCCGGGCAGACCCATCAAACCCAACTGTATTATCCCAAAGGGAGAACCCCTCAACTAATGTAGTATCCAGGGGCCCCCAGAACCCCCAAAAACAAATAAATGTGGAAACCAGGACGACCCTCAACTAACTGGTTAGGAAAAAAATCCAGGCCGAACAAGAGCCCGGGAAACATCAAATAACTGTAGTTTAAACCGGACCCGCACAACACTAATGTATTCCAGGGCCCCCCCATCAAATAAATGTAGTATCCCGGACAAAACATCAAAAACTGAGTACCGGCAGAACAATCGAGACCCGAACCAAACAACTAACTTAGTTTAAACCCGGACCGAACCCCAACCCAACTGTAGGATCCAGGAAGGAAAAACATCAACTAAAAATAGTTTCCGGGGGCAGAACCAAAACTAACGGAGTATCCCCGGGGCGAACATCAAAAATAAAAATTTTGTAAACCCGGAAAAATCCAAGAACATAAACTAACTATGTGTATCCAGGGGCAGAACATCAAATAACTTGTATCCCCGGACAGGGAAACAAAACAAAACCCGGCCCAAACTTAACCAAGTGTAGTAAACCAGGAACCCCGAAAAAATCAACTAACTGTAGTATCCAGGACAGAACCAAACAACTAACTGTAAATAAAACCCGGGTCCAACCGAATCCCAAAATAACTATCCGTATCCCGGACAGAAACAAAAACATCAGAAAATAACTGTAGTTTTCCCCGGACAGAACACCCAAATAACCGGTTTATCCGGAACCCGGAAAAAATCAAAATAACTTTTAAATTTCCAGGGCAGAACCCTCAACAACTGGGAAGTTTTCCAGGAAAAAAAGAACCAGAACATCACTAACTGTAGTATACAGGGCAAACCTCAAAATAACTGTGTAAACCCGGACAAACCTCAAATAACTGTTGTTTTAGGGGAAAACATTTAACTAAATGTAGTATCCAGGACAGACCCCTCACCTAACCCTTTGTATCCAGGACCAAACTCAAACCCAACTGTAGTAAACCCGGAACCCGCCCCCAAACTAACTGTAGTATCCCCAGACCATCAACTAACTGTAAGTATCCAGGACAGTCAACTAACTTGTAATATCCCGGACGAACCCTCAACTAACTGTAGTATCCAAGGGCAAACATCAAATAAAATGTAGTATCCAGGAAAAGACCATTTAACCCAAATGTTTTAAAACCAAGGACCGCATAAAAAGGGAAACCAGGGCAGAAAACCGGGACCCGGGCCCTCAAACCCAAAATTTAGTATCCCGGACAGGGCCATCAAATAACTTTAGTATCCAGGCAAACATCAACTAACTTAGTATCCAGGAACCCCGAACCCTCAAAATAAAGGTTTGTTTAAAGGGCAGAACCAAAACAAATAAAATGTAGTAAAACCCGGGCAGAACTCAACTAAAATGTATATTCCCAAGGGCCATCAAATAAAGTTTATTTACAGGGGGCCCTCAACTAACTGTGGGTTTCCCGGACCCGCCCCCAAAAAATAACTTAAGTTTAAAAAACTCCCAGGACAGGACCAAAAACAAAATAAGTAGAAACCAGGACCAGAACATCAAATAACTGTGGATCCAGGAAAAAGAACCCTCAACTAACTTAGTATCCCCGGGGCAAAATCAACTAACTGTTTGTATCCCCGGACGAACCCCAAATAATTAATAACTGTTAATAAGTAGTATCCAGGACCGCAACAAGGGCCCCGGCAGAACCCTAAAAATAACTGGGAGTATCCCGGGGAAAATCCAAATAAAATGTAGTTCCCGGAAAAGACCCTCAACCCAAATGTAGATCCGGACAACCCCAAAAAAGGGCAGAAAAATAAAAAAAAAACTAACTTGTTAGGGTAAAGGATCCAGGCAGAAAAATAAAATAACTGTAGATTCCCGGACCCCGGCCCTCAACTAACTGTGTATCCAGGACCACCCCAAAACCCAAAAAAGGCCCGAAACATAACCCAACTTTTTAATATCCAGGACCATCAAATTTAATGAGTATCCAGGACAGCATAAACCCCCTTAAAAATTTTTTTTAACGTTATTTTTTTAAAAACTTATTTTTAAAGCCATCAATTTTTTAAGTTCCCAAAAAAACACCCAAAAAGTTTCCGGAAAGGCCTCAAAATCGGGTACCAGAAGAAACTTTCCGTTTCCCACCCAAAATAATCTTTAATGTTTTTGGGGTTTTTTAATGTGTTTTGGGAAGGCCTCCCAAATGCCCCTTTTTCCCTTTTCCGGAAGGGAACTCACTTTTAGTTCCGGACGAAAAACCGTGATTTCCAAAGAAATTAAATGTATTTTTTTTTTAGGGGAAAAAAATAATTTAAAATTTAACAGTTAAAGGGAACCCCTAACTAACTTTTCCAAAAAGAAAAATTTTATTAATACAAAAAAAAGGGTTTAAGGGCGGGAAATTTTTTTCTGGGGGTTTCCGACCACAAATAACTTGGGTTCCCAAAAGAACCCAATCTCGGAAATTCCCAAAGAAATTAAAAGGTTTCCCCTCAATAAGAAGGCCGGCATCCCTGAGGGATTAAAACGGGCCTCACCAATTAGAAAAAGAAAACAAGGGGTAAAGGAATAAACAATTTAAGTGTCCCGCGCTTTAAAACCCAAGCCCGGCATTAACTAATGAGTTCCACCCCCCTTATAGCAAAGCTTTCTTTTCCGGACCGGTAATAATTTTGGGTTGAAATAATTGAGTAATTTCCCCGGCAGCTAAAATTGGGAAAAAAAAAAAATGGAGGGGAAAGGGTTCAAAAGGGGTTTAACCCGGGAAAAAAAAAATTTTATAAACCGTTACTTTTGGGGGTTTGAACCGGTTCAGAACTTTATTTTGCTGGTCGGAACAGTGGAACGGAACAACAACAAAATAATGGTTCTGTTCAGAGCGAAACGATTGGAAAATAATTTCGGTTCCAACCCCTGATTTTAACATCCGTACTGCTTAGCCCTGAGAGCATGATAACTAGTGTATGATGTGTACTTCTGTTTGGTGAGTAATCTCTCCCTCCCATATTGTCTTTTATCCCAGATGCCAATGAGAGAGGCTTGTCTGAGAGCAGTCCCCTGACCACAGGAGAGTCCCTGTCGACAGAATATGTCAACACACCCACCCTCAAACATGTTCCCGCCGCCATGCCAGAGACTGCATGACCTACACAGCTGGTGGATGGAGCGGCAGTACCATAACTAAGTCTACCTGAGGCTTATAAATAATATGCCATTTAGCAGACGCTTTTATCCAAAGCGATTTACAGTCATGCGTGCATACATTTTTTTTGTGTATGGGTGGTCCCGGGGATCGAACCCACTACGTTGGCGTTACAAGCGCCGTGCTCTACCAGCTGAGCTACTTTCAGGCTTAGGATGAGGACTGGCAGGATTGACATTACTCACCATCAGCTGGCCTGAAAGTGATCCACAGTTACAGCAGTGAACTGTAATATTTAGGACACATAACTGCAAGGGACTTCCTTCACCTGGAGACTGCTGATGTTGGCCTTTTAGAGATTGTCACTGTTTTTACCTACCTGCGTTGAGCAGTATATCAAAACTACTCCAGGAGATGATTTTTTAAATGTTTGACTAAAATAAATCAAAAGTAATAAATGTTGAAGAACTTTAATTATATCCAGGAATTAGTTGGAAACCATATCCATGGTGGATGTCCGTGGAGAGTATGTGGAAGTGGAGGGGAGGCCAATTCATTGTCATGTAATTCATACAGACTTTATAGCTTTAATCGGCCAACCAGTCAAATGCTACACAGTTGCTACTGAGTTTTTTCAGTCATTATCTGCTGGCCTTGCAGTCTATCCATGACATTTCGCTTTAGCACGGTCGCTACCTTGTCCTGTATAGCAAGCTCAGCCACAACTGGGGAGCAGCCAAGTCCCTATCTAATCTGTAAATGTTTGACAATGCCTACACTTTGCCCTACACTTATTCGGCCAATAGTAAAAGCACTTGTGTAAGGAGAGGCACACTCCTCACTTCACAACCTGAATGGCTACAACTTTTAGGAATAATCTGTAACAAAACTGGAATGACAAGCACAGGTACTGGATTCTTTACAATCCAATAAGAGGGAGAGGAGTTTGTTTCCACAACGATAACACTGTGGTCTGGTCTCCGTGGAGATGGCCTGGGGTCTGGTTTCCATGACATTAAGGGCTCTGGTGCCGGTGGTGATTCTGCTCTGGACTTTCACATCCACAGATGGGGGAGGTGAATAACAACCATCATCAGTCTGTCTTAGTTCATCTGTCTTTACCTTCTGTCTGTCTCAAAATATTACATTCCAAAATAACTCCAACAGATGTAGGAACTTAATTTGATCACTCTTTTGTTGCTGTGAATTTTCCTGCAGTTCTAATGTACTCAAGTTTTTAAAAAGGCTTCTAAAGATTGTAATTTCCACTTTTAAATGGCAGACTTGATTTTCCCTAATGAAAAATGTATCAACCCCTACAAAAAATGTCCATTAATTATAATCTACATAATAATTCACATTTCCTGCTGTAGATCCTACATCTGTAGTCCTAGGTCTGTTTGACAGTAAGTGCTGAGCTAGCAGCAGCTGGGAGGAGGGAAGTTGTTATCACACAGGACTGAAAGGGTTTTACTTACATAAACCCACCGGAATCACCTCACATGAGTTTAACTGTAAAAAAAAAGCTTCTCTGAAAAATGAGTTACTTAATTCAAGAGCAGACTTTTCCTGTTGTGCGTAGTGATCTTTGGCCACGTCCACCTTAAGGCAAAGTATTATACAGATGAATCATCATGTGATCATGTGACTGACTATAAGGTCTGAAGAAAGTCTCTCTGTGATTATGTTTGAACAACTTTATAGGATGAATCAGTGATTCAACAGCAGATGTTGCAGGCTAAGATGGTTTAACAATGTAAATGATTGCTGAATGAGTGTGGTATGATTAGAGGCATGAAGGAAGTTTAGTCATTCAGGTCTGACTGGAGTCTTTACTTTAGATTGTGATTTTAGTTGGAGGTTAGGTGCTGTGGGTGAGGAGGGGGGTGGGTGGAGGACAGAGGAGGACCACAATGACAGATTAGACTCAGGTTAATATTAACAATATTAACAATAATAACAGGTTAATAACAGGTTAATAACACTCTGATATAAACCAAGGGCCTACTCACTTTACCAAGGTATCTGACTATTGGGGAGTATAGGAGTCTGTGTTTGAATCCCCTCTTGTCCAGATGTTCATTTAACGTGTGTGTTTATTCTCTTGCAGACATCCATGTAACCTGTCTGTTCTCAGAGGATTGTGTCCTGGCCTGCAGCTTCCAGCCTGACAGTGAGGAAGTAATCCACTGGCTGAAACTAAAAGACAAGGACCCGACCGTCCACTCCTACTACTACAGTACAGATCAGCTCAAAGAGCAGAGCCAGCGTTACAGAGGGAGAACAGCCCTGTTCAATGACCAGATCCCCAAAGGAAACGCTTCACTACTGCTGAGAGGACTCACACTCCAGGACCAGGGCAGATACAAGTGTTACACCAGCACTATTAAAGGCAACAAGGAGTCCTTCATTAACATGGCAGTGGAGGGTACGGAATATCTGTCTGTCTGTCTGTCTGTCTGTCTGTCTGTCTGTCTGTCTGTCTGTCTGTCTGTCTGTCTGTCTGTCTGTCTGTCTGTCTGTCTGTCTGTCTGTCTGTCTGTCTGTCTGTCTGTCTGTCTGTCTGTCTGTCTGTGATGATCACTTTATGGCTGCTGTAATGTCTACTTTGTTGCAGCTCCAGTCCGCTTGGTGGACATACAGGTATCAGATGACATCATCACCTGCAGTTCTACAGGTATCTATCCTAAACCTAAACTCACCTGGTCCACTGACCCCCCCTCTGACCTTTCATTTGACCCTGGAACCATCCAGAACTCCACCAGCACCAAGGTGGATGACCGGGACCTCTATGACATCACCAGCACAAAACAGTTTATCAGAAACCGAACCAACATCTGTAACGTGACCTCTGGGACAGTAGAAAGGACAGCAACCCTGAAACAGCAAGGTAATCAATTGATCAACCTGTTAATCAAACAATTTATAAATCAATGAATAAATTCATCAATCAATTTTTCTGGCTATAAACTCTACAAAATCAAGACAACAATGCGAGACAGTATGCAAAGATCAAGCTAAAAAGGCGCTTTCTTATGACATAATTTCAGATCCGGTCCAGGTTTCTCCAAGAGGTGAAGTGTCCATCCCCTGCAGTGTCTCTCAGTCTGACCTCCTGACCTTTAACCTCACCTGGGGGTTCAACCAGATAGACACCATCCTCACCTCCACCTACACCAAGGGCACATCTCAGATGTACGTTAACGACCAGTGGAAGGAGCAGGTTCAGAGTTTGTCTGACTCTGGCAGCCTTCAGCTCCACAAGCTAACCGTGGTCCACCAGGGAATCTACAGCTGTGAACTCTCTACTGCCAGAGACTCACACCTGGTCCTCACCTACCTGGAGATCACACCTGATAAACCATCTGATGGTACAAAGTTTACTTTTACTATTTACCCTCACTGTAAGTTACATGATCACATTCAACAATAAAACTGCAACTCTGTATTTTCTCCTTCAGTTTCAGATGGACTGAGTCCAGGTTCAATCACTGGTATAACAATAGCAGCAGTGATTATAGCAGCAGTGATTATAGCAGCAGTGATATGTTACCGACAGAGAGGTAAGTTATGATGATGATGACATCATAATCTGTTGAAACATTTAACACAACCACCTCCTGATGGACAGAGAGGAGGGTTACATTGGTGGCTTTTGATGAACAGCTTTCAGTTTCTGCTATTTTACTGTCTCCCATCTCAAGGTTTTCTGCCCAAATCCAAAAAAGTAACACGGTCATCTGAAGAGGGAGAGTCACTCTCTGCCACAGGTTGACGTCCATGGAATATTCATGTCCTTATGGTCACATGCATTTACTCATACTAGCTGTTTGTGTGTCTGAATCCTGCTAACTCACCATAAACTCACCTATCCCCCTCCAGCAAATTCAAATGGTCAAAATGAAAAGGATCAGAGTGGAACACCACTTCAGAATGGAGAAGAAAGAGAGGAAGCCATAGAAAGACAACAACAAGAACAAGGTCAAGGAGAAGAGGGGTCAGCCACATCAACCATAGTAAAGCCATGTGGTCCTCTGTAGCTCAGCTGGTAGAGCACGGCGCTTGTAACGCCAAGGTAGTGGGTTCGATCCCCGGGACCACCCATACACAAAAAAAATTAAATAAATGTATGCATGCATGACTGTAAGTCGCTTTGGATAAAAGCGTCTGCTAAATGGCATATTATTATTATTATTATTATTATATTATTATAAAGCCTCAGACAGAAGGAGAGGACATTGTTCCTGATTAAGACAAAACTGACATTCTAGAAGTCTCTCTGGTGTGTCAGTAGAGTCAAAAGTCAAGAATAATATGAGAAGAAATGTGTCAGTGTTCTACAGGATGTGGTCATGGTCTCTCTGAGAAAGAGGCTATGGCTATTATTGATTAGCCAATACATTGACAACCAAACCACTACTGGTTCAGATGCCAGGCACTTGTAGAGACCTGAAAGAATTCAATAACTATAACCAATTATGAAAACTTAACCTACAGTAGACCAGGTGGAGCTATAATCATATTCCTATAGGATCTACATGGAGTGCCTAGCAGGGGGACAGCGGCTAGGGGTTGGTTCTGGACCGGCCACATCTTTCACAACGAAAAGCAATTTGTTTTGCAAATCAAATGTGAATTTAGCAATGTCTGTATTCAGTACAGTTACTATTCAGTGACAGTATGTTATCCCCTGCCTTGCCTCATTCACCATCATTGTGTCTTGGAGAGGCCTGTCAGCCTTTACACACACTGAATGGACAGGACCTGTTTCACCATCAGAAGTAACTTGCTGGCATGTGAATCAATCAATTACACTACATTATTAGGAGAAGTAATTGATTGATTGTGGGACATAGTTTTTTAAGTTTTATTTAAATGTATTAAGTGTGTGTGTGCGTGCATGCATGTGTGCACATTAATTTTGCTATTGCAGGAGAAAGTAACTACTCTGGGATACTGAGTTTATTTACTGTAGCATGACACCCACACCTTGATGAATGTAGGTTATCTTTACCTGTATGTAACATGATCCCTCTGGAACTCCCGGACAGCCTCTCTCTGAAGAGAGAGGAGCTATAGTAGCAGGAACAATAAGTTACCTGAAACAGAAAGGGAAGCTATGATGATGACGATGATGATGATGATGATGATGATGACAACCATAGTCAGCCTCTATTGAGACATTTAACAAACCATAATGTCCTGAATTTAAAATGATAGTGGCTATTGGTTTTGATTGGGTTCTACAGGGAGAAAGTGTTGGACATTTTTGGTTAACTACTCTGTCTCTGTCACACCCTGGCTCTGGGACTCTATATGTTGAGCCAGGGTGTGTTCATTCTATGTGGTTTATTTCTATGTTGGGGGTTCTAGTTTGTTGTTTTCTATGTTTGCCTGAGTGACTCCCAATCAGAGGCAACGAGTGTCAGCTGTTGGCTGGTTGTCTCTGATTGGGAGCCATATTTAAACTGTCTGTTTTTCACTTTGTGTTTGTGGGTTTTTGTTCCGTGTTGGTCTTTGTTACCAAGGACGTTACGAGTCGTTTGCTGTTTTGTTTCGTGCTTTAATTAAATAAAGTAAACATGTTCGTTCAACACGCTGCGCATTGGTCTACTTCTCTCCCTGACGATCGTGACAGAAAAACCCACCGTACCAGGACCAAGCAGCGTGTCCAGGAACAGGCAGCCTGGACATGGGAGGAGATATTGGACGGGAAAGGGTCCTGGACCTGGGAGGAAATCCTGGCCGGGATGGATCGCCGGCCATGGAGTGAGACGGTGGAGAGGCGACGGAGAGAGGAGCAGCAGCGTCAGCAGGGTCAACGTCGGACAGGCGAGAGGCAACCCCACATTTTTTTTAGGGGGGGGCACACGGCAGGGGCGACTAGGCAGCAGGAGGCTGCCACAGGGCGATTAGGTGAGGAGGCCACCAGGTTAAGGGGGCTACTGGCGCAGAGGGAGCAGGAGTTAGTGTTGCAGAGGATGGAGCATTTGGAGGCGATAAGGGAAAGGGTGAGAAATGAGGCACGGCGAGAGGAACTCGGTAGGCAGCTGAGGGAGCGGGGGGTTATGACGAAACCCAGTCCCGCTCCTCACACCAAGCAAGTGGTGTGCGTCACCAGTCTGGTCCGGCCCGTTCCTGCTTCCCGCACTAAGTGTACGGTGCACGTCGCCAGCCCAGCCCGGCCTGTTCCTGCCCCTCGCACCAAGCCTACGGTGTGCGTCGCCAGCCCGGCCCGGCCTGTTCCTGCCACACGCACCAAGTGTACGGTGCGCGTCGCCAGCCCGGCCCGGCCTGTTCCTGCCACTCGCACCAAGCCAGGGGTGCGAGTCGTCAGCCTGGTCCAGCCCGTTCCTGCCACTCGCACCAAGCCAGGGGTGCGAGTCGTCAGCCTGGTCCAGCCCGTTCCTGCCACTCGCACCAAGCCAGGGGTGCGAGTCGTCAGCCTGGTCCAGCCCGTTCCTGCTACTCGCACCAAGCCAGGGGTGCGAGTCGTCAGTCCGGTGAGGCCCGTTCCGGCTCCACGCACCAAGCCAGGGGTGCGCATCGTCAGCCCGGTCCGGCCCATTGCTGCTCCACGCACCAAGCCAGGGGTGCGAGTCGTCAGTCCGGTGAGGCCCGTTCCGGCTCCACGCACCAAGCCAGGGGTGCGTATCGTCAGCCCGGTCCGGCCCGTTGCTGCTCCACGCACCAAGCCAGGGGTGCGCATCGTCAGCCAGGTCCGGTCCTTTCCTGCCTCACGCACCAAGCCAGGGGTGCGCGTCGTCTGTCCGGCACAACCCGTGCCTGGGTCACCGGTGCCTAACCAGGTACCGGTCAACGGCTCCACTAAGGAGTTGAAGCTAACCGCTCCTGCTACGTCCAGTCCAGCTCCTGCCAGCGGGGCCAGACCGGACCAGGGGCGCTATGGGGGGTTTGTTGGAGGGTGGTGGGCAAGCCCGGAGCCAGAACCGCCGCCGAGGAGGAATGCCCACCCAGCCCTCCCCTGTTTTGCTCGTATTGAGGCGCGGTCGCAGTCCGCACCTTTAGGGGGGGGGGTACTGTCACACCCTGGCTCTGGGACTCTATATGTTGAGCCAGGGTGTGTTCATTCTATGTGGTTTATTTCTATGTTGGGGGTTCTAGTTTGTTGTTATCTATGTTTGCCTGAGTGACTCCCAATCAGAGGCAACGAGTGTCAGCTGTTGGCTGGTTGTCTCTGATTGGGAGCCATATTTAAACTGTCTGTTTTTCACTTTGTGTTTGTGGGTTTTTGTTCCGTGTTGGTCTTTGTTACCAAGGACGTTACGAGTCGTTTGTTGTTTTGTTTCGTGCTTTAATTAAATAAAGTAAACATGTTCGTTCAACACGCTGCGCATTGGTCTACTTCTCTACCTGACGATCGTGACAGTCTCACTTAAGGGCAGACAACATAACAAACCAATTATATGAATTATGCATATTGTAGAATGAAACACCTATATGCCCTTTATGCCTATGGATTAAGAACCAATTTAACAATAGTAGAGACATTTCTTTAGTGCAAATGCTGTGCTTCTGAGAAAGGATGGTTCCCTCTAGCTCTCTGCAGCTGGTCTGGGTATGTCAAGGACATACAACTTCAGGAACAGATAGACCTGTATAGACCTGTATTGTTTCTCGTAGCTTCTGAGTAACCTGGTCACACGGTTAGGACAAAGAGCCTCAGAATGACCACAGTTTTTTCCAGTTCATTTTAGACAAAGAGCCTCAGAGTGATCACAGTTTTTCAGTTCATCCTGTCTTTTACTATCTTCCAAGGGTGTAGATAGGAGTAGCAATGGAACTAACGTCATCACTTGTTTGTGCGCTATTGTCACGCCCTGGCTCTGTGGACTCTTAAATGTTGTGCCAGGGTGTGGACTTGTTATGTTTAGTTTTCTATGGGTTTTGTTCTAGATCGTTTATTTCTATGTTGGCCAGGGTGGTTCCCAATCAGAGACAGCTGTAGCTCGTTGTCTCTGATTGGGGACCATACTTAGGCAGCCTTTTGGCATTTTAGTTTTGTGGGATCTTGTTCCGTATGGTTTGTTGTATTACCTAGGACTTCACGTATCGTTTTGTTGTTTTTGTTCGTGTTGTGTACACTTAATAAAAGTATGTACGCCTATCACGCTGCGCCTTGGTCCGCTTCTCATAACGATCGTGACAGCTATGACCCGATACACATAGCCACATACACATAGTCACAGGAAGAAACCTCAAGGTCCAGGAAGGATGGCTGTAAGGAATGTCTTAAATGTATATGGTTGAGAATGGGTTATGGACCTGACATGTTTAAACCATATTTAAGTATTGATTGATATGTTTTATAATGTGTAATGGTTTAGATGGGATGTTTTATGTGCAAATGTATTTGTGGCTGGAGACTGTGTGTGCAGAGGGGGCCTATCTCTGAAACTGGTGAACTGGGACAGGCTGCAGGAGTGTGTGCACTCCCTAACCTCAAGGCTTCTCCTGACTGATAAGAGATGGCTCTGTTATTTTTTGCATGAGAAAGCTTGGTCCTGCCACTATTGGTTCCAAATCTGAATAAATAGGAGGAGGAGGAGGAGAAGTCAGATTTCGCCACTATCATAAATTAAGAGAGTGGGCGGAGCGGTCAAAAGATAGAGATTTTGGGACAATGGTAGAAGAACTAAAAAGGGAGGGATTAGGCAAAAAGTATGTCAAATTTGCAGGAATATAACTGTATATAAACTGAGGGCCAAGTGTTGGGAGTTTAGTTACTCGGCAGACCCACTCAGCTTTGTTGGT